TATCTGTTACACCTCTCGGGATCTTAAATAGGGAAAAGTAATGCACGAAGATAGTCAATAGGTATGCTCGAATCAATGTAGCTCTATGACCCTAAAATGAACAGGTTTCCCGCTAACTCTCTAACCTCTTGGCATTTTCAACCATCTCACAAAGATGTATGCTCCTAAAATTCCCCTCCCACCTCTTGCCCCCCCCCCCCCCCAACACCCAATGGAACCCCTGGATTGGTAAAAAGCAATTCTGATTTATTGCATCCTATTTCTATCCCTAAGTCTTATCTCAAAAAAAAAAAAAATTCTATCCCTAAGTCATCTATCATGGCCTCCTCTACATTAATCCTGGTCAGCTCACTCTTTCTTAAATTTATCCTAGGACTCGATATAGCTTCAAAGACTTGAATGAGAATTAAAACCCAGGAAATGTACTGATTATCATGATGTAGGAATAAGATTGTATCACTAGTGGATTGGAGATGTGACATCTCAGCACTATGCTTACCTACCTTCATACACTTAACATGCCCCTTGCTCTTAGATTTGTAGGTCATTTTGTTTAGGACATCAACTACCAAAGTGAAAAGAGAGGGATATAAAGGATCCTCTTTTCTTAAACCTCTAAAGGCGTTGACCTATTCTTTAGTATCCTGTTAATCTGACATCCCTGAATTCATTTTCTCCATCTACATCCGAACCCTTTCCTCTCCATTACCCTATCTAGGAATCTCCAATTCACCTGGTCATACTCCTCCTTAAAGTCAAGTTTTAGGACTAAGCCTTTCCCTTTTGATCTCCTAGTGTACTCCATTACCTCGTTAGCCACTAATGACACTTTTAGATCTGTCTACCTTCCACAAATGCATTATGATGAATGGATATCATCTTATCAAGATAGACACTAGGCCTGAGAGGTAGAACTTTTTGCTATAATTTTGTAGACACTCGTTACTAGGCGTATTGGTATAAAATCAAACACCTTATTGGACCTATCCCTTTTCGGGATTAAAATGATAAAGGTTGAATTCATGCTTTTACATATTTTCCCCTAGTGAATTACTCGTAGAAACTTTATCAAATCAACCTTTATGATGTCCTAATTATCCTTAAAAAACTCTATTGTAAATCCATCAAGACTTGATACCTTTTCCTTACCCAAATCCCACGTTGTCGCCTAATCTCGTCCTCCTTAAAGGATCTCTCCATTCTGTCGGCTTCTTCCAAAAGGACAGGGGCCCACTTGATTCCTTCAAGAAAAGGCCTATGGTTATTTTCTTTAGAATACACCCTTTGGAAGTACCTTGTGGTCTCTTGACCTATAACCTCACTTCTTCTCTCTGTCTGGCCATTGCTGAGTTTGAGTTCCTAGGTAATGTTCTTCCTTCTTAGTCAAATTTACCATTCTACCAAAAAGGCTAGTATTGGCATTTCCATCTTTTGTCTTCTGTCTCCAATATCTTTCTTCTTGAATCATACTGCATGTAATTCATTCTTAAGTTCTACCCGTCTCCTCTTTTGATCCTCAGAGATGTTGACCTCTACTTCCCTTTTATCCAGGTCTCTCAATTCTTCTAAATCCCCACCTTCTTCTAGAAGCCGTTCCCAGAAACTTCTTTGTTCTACTTTTTAATTTAATTCTTCAGGTTTCTCAATGTGCATGATTCAGTATCCTTCCCAATTTGCCCTGTTCTCGTTCTTCCACCCTTCTCTAATCACTTCCTTGAACCCTGGGTGTTCTCAACCACATATTTCTGAACCTAAAAGAACGTTGGTCCTAAGTTACGCGCGAGGATTCAAGTAGGATCAGGAAATGATTAGATACTGATATTGGAGAACTTTTCTGGATCATTAGGAAAAGTGTCCTCCCATTGGATAGGGACTAAAAACCGATCCAAACAAGAGGAAACTACTCCCTGTCTATTAGTAAATCATGTGTATTGGACATTATTTAGGGGCAGGTATCTCAGGCCAAACTCATTTATAAAGGTACTAAAATTCTGCATGGATGTTGTTGTTCCTTTATGATCCCCTAATTTCTCCTGGGGCAACCTGCACATGTTAAAATCACCACTTATACACCAAAAAGGATTAGAAAGACTGGCCAAATATGATAATTCCTCCCAAAAAGATGACCTTTATCTATCTGCTAGGTCCATAGACAAATAATCCACCAACACCCACCCTTTCCCTTTTATGTTCAGTAGAACAAAAAATAGTTTCCTTCTAACATGTCTAGTTTTGTTGCTACCATTGTGTCCCAATTGATTACCCCCCCCCTGAAGCACCAGATGAAAGAGTAGCCACCCATTCCGTAAATCGGGTCTCCCATATGCTCCTAATTACTTTTTTTTTTAAATACACATATGCTCCTAATTACTACTCTATCAATCTCCTATTTTTTTGGTTTCCTGGAGCATGATTATATCAGGGTTTACCTTAACCAAGACTTTCTTTATTTTCCTCCGTTTTAACCCGTTTCCGAGGCCATCAACGTTCCAAGACACTACTCTCATCTTATCCCCTCATCTCCCCTGCTTTTTCCTACTCTTTTATATAAAATTTCTGAGCCACATTGCTAAGTCCTCTCTCTGTCTTTCTTCCTACGAATGTTGGTCCTCGGGAACATAATTACCTCTACCTCCTCTCCTTTTTCTCCCACTGCCTGGAAGTCCAATTTGTTCAAGAGATTGAATGTGGTTTCCTGATTGCAATTCACCTGAATTGGATTTATGGCAATGTTATTTTCGTCTAGTTTCCTTATATCCAGTGGCACATTATGGATTCCGTGACCCTCCTTCCAATTGGGTTTTGGTAGAATGCCCCTGCTTGAATGCGTATGTATCTCACTTGTCCCTGTTTTATTAGAATATTTTGATTAGTTAAGAACAGTTATAGAAAGGAGAGTGTCACCAGGAGGGCAAATTGTGTTGCTTCAGGAATTCTGGGTTGGCTCCTTGTCTGTTGCTACTGTGAGCTCGATGCTAGCACAATAATTCATCTTCTGCTTCTCCTGTGCAATCTGTTCCTCTGTCACCTCCTTCACTTGGCCTTCCTGTAATTTTTCTGTAGATAGGAAACACCTCCTTAACCCTCTCAGAGGTACTCCTGTCTTCTTCTATTTTGAAGGCTCATCATATCATCTTCCTCCTCCTCCAGCAGATCAGAAGAAAATGCATCTTCTTCCGTGTTGTTTGACTGCTAAGCTCATCTTCTTTATCACTGTAGGTCTCTCTTAATTGGGGTGGTAACTCAATTTCTTTTTGTTTCTCTGCCTAGTTTCAAATTTCTTCTCGATCGGGTTTCATGTTCGGAAGCCGTTCTAGTTCCTTCTTTGATATTTCAGTTTCCATCTCTGCTGATCGTAGAATGGTCTGGTCTGAATGGAAGCTGTTCTAGTATTCATCTGCTTTGTGCTTCCAGTGGCTGCTGAAAATTCTTCAGGAGGTCGCTCAGAGTGCTTGACGGAGAGAGCCTGGTGAAATCAGGCTTCAGGTCTGACTCGATGGGCCTCCCTTGTTGTACGAGCCTTCTGGTGGTCGAAGGGGGTGATTGCTTTGGTGGGCCAATGGCGGGAGTGAGTGGCCCTGAGATGAAACCAGTCCATTAAAGACAGCTTCTTGATGACTCATTTTTGGATTCTCCTTATCAGTTATGTTTATTTTCTTTGAAATAGAAAATGTATAGTATGAACAATGGTACCAAGGGAGTACCATCCATATATAAGATATTTACATGTCAGTTAGTAGGTTAATGACATTCCCAAAATCATTTGATGTTATGTTTATTGCCCATCTAACCATCCTTTTCCCAGAATTGTGGACTGTTATCGTAACGGGAATTCCCGAATTTCCTTCGCTATCTCCAAAAATCCTTCCCCATCCAGGTCTGTTGTAATGCCAGAGCAGATTGTGTGGTGTAACATTTGCTGATTTGAGAATTGAATCCTGTATCCTGTTTGTTCTCCTTCTGTTCCTATCATCATCATTGGTGGTCAATCACTGCTGGGGTTGCTCGTCATCTTCAACATCGTGTCTGTTTCTGTTATTAGGAAGCACTGGCAGCCGTGCCATCTTCCTTCCTTCTGCGTCTTTTGGCATCTGTCTTCTCTGCTCTAGAGGAATTACAGAAGACAATACGTCATCCATCTTTGTCCATCCTATTCCTTGAAGGCCGTCCGGAACACAAGCCCTGTTGATTAAGATTGGGCCTCTAAACTCAGCTGTTTCCAGGAAACTCCTGCATTCATTATTACTCATGGCTACCATCATATACCCTTCCGCTATTCTTCAGACTGAATTGTAAAGCAAACCCTCCGCCACGGATGATCTGAGACAATTACAGAACCACACAGTCCCCCTTACACCCATTCTGATTGCAAAACAGTGTTGATTCCCTTTCTCCTGTATCAACAGTGTCGCTCCTAGTTGTTATCGTCCTCCTTTCTCGCTGTGAAATGCTTCTCAACGTGAATTCCTCCCATATTCCCCCATGGATATAATAACGATTACATAAATGTTCTATGTAATAAGTGATTTCTGGATATGTTAAAATTGTCCATGAGTTAACCACCTAGAGCTGGTAGTTGTGAATTCTTCAGTACTAGTAGTTCTGGACTTTTTTCTCTGGTAGGTTCTGTTTTGTAGGCGCTAAATACATCTCAAATAATAAACTGGAGTTTAATCAGGACAGGAAACTAAAAGCTAAGAGAAACTAAATTTTAAATCAGATGTAAAAATTTGCAAAAGGAAAATAGACGAATCTCAGGCTGTGGTTAATAAATTAAAGTGAATATATTTTATTACTTAAATAACCAATATTATTACAATCAGATTAAAATGTTAGAATTACATAATTAGCTTAGAAATACTTCCTAATTGTGCTTCCATTTTTCCCCATCCTATCTTAGTACCCGTGCAAGTTTCTTCTTTTCCATTAAAATATGACATTGGTATTAACCCTTCAAGTTAATTGTAGCCGAGCGATGGGAGATGCTGGTTCTGCAATTAGTTATTTTGATGAAAGTGTGGAATTCCTTACAAAATTGCCAGCAGATGATTTGGAGGTCATATTATTAGCCTTATTATGCCTCTGCTAACATTTTCTTTAACCATACATGCTCATGAATGTACTATCTTCTACTCCACAGATCTCACATACACTTTCTGTTTCACTCAACAAAATTGGGGATCTTAAATATTATGATGGAGACCTACAAGCTGCAAGATCTTATTATTTCCGTTCTCTGAATGTTCGTCGTGATGCTGTCAAGTGTCATCCAAATGTTCCATCCCAGGTAAGATCCAGTTCTGCCTATCATTTACTTTGTCAATATGATCCTGATGCTTTTGGCTTGTTAATCTCTTCTTATCATTGACCATTCCTGCTGATAAGTTCTCAGATTCTTCAGATCTGGATATTTTTGTTAATGTAGAAATAGTTTGGGTACTGAAATGAGGTTCATAATGATAAGGTGCTTGTGACCGACTTAGGAGTTGCAAATTCTATTAAAGTAAGCAGCCATTATTGATTGCTGATTTATCGAATAAAGGAGAAAAAATAATGAAAATGATTTTGAAAAGTGAGACATATACTGGATAAACTATGTTTCTTTCAGAGTTTGGATCCTGAAATTTCAGGTGGAGAATAAAGCTATCTTTGAGAATTGAGCTCCATTGCTTAATTTCTGTATGTCAAATTTTCTTTGCAAGGAATTTTGCATATAGGTGGTCTCTTTGCCTCTATGTGCTTGCTGGAATAGATAGCTGGTGTGGGTAGATAAGTCTAAAGTCAAATGAGATGTTTCTTTTCATATTGTATTGTCTACTTGTTCGGGGTTCTAGAGATTAGTGTGAGAGAACAGTAAGTAGTTGATGTGACTTGGAGACTAAGTTTGTAAAGTTATAGGAGCTATGCTGCTTTCTTTTTGGCGGGTGGAGGGGACATAACGTCCATTATAAGTTGGAATTATCAGATTATGATTCTAATACTTAGTATTGTCTCCAATAAAGTCATTAGTATTATGGTTATGGGGTGCTCGTATTATTTCTATCAAATGAAGTTTGGTTGTATTTAATTCTAGTGCAGCACACCTTAATCCATAGCGACAATGAAGAACTTGATAATAAAGTGTTCAAATTAAATAGTAATGGAGCCATTGCACCCGACTGTCACTTAAGATTTATGTTACGTGTTCTGTTACCTAAATGTATGCAGATTCTAGATGTGGCTGTTTCTCTGGCTAAAGTTGCAGATGCAGATAGGAGCTTGGGGAATGAGGATGTGGCAGTTAATGGATTTCAAGAGGGAATAAAACTACTAGAAGCTTTGACATTGAACTCCAAAGAGACTGGGCTTGAGCAAAGGGTGGGATTTCCCTGCATTGACTTTCTTTTACTGTTAACCGAAGCTTGAAAGATAACGATTTAACAATCTATTTCCCTTGTGCAGCGGCTTTCAGTACTGGAGTTCTTGAACAATCAACTTGCAGAGAAACAAGCTGATTCAACCGATTAAGGTTGGATTTCCTGTACTAAAATAGCGTTTTTTGTATATACATATATATACAAGTCTATTGTCACTTAGTAGTAACATGTTTAGGGAAGGTAGCGGCAATGTCCTTTCTCTGGTTCCTCTATTGTCAGAATCCAGTCAATGTTCACGTCATGTAGGGCTATTATATTGCCGGCGAGAGTGCCCGTGGGTTACACTAAATTGACTCAGGCCTCTGAAGATCTCTATATCCGCATGCACCTGATCATTTTGACACGCTATTTGAACTCGCTTAGCAGGGCAATAGCTAGTGGTTGGTTTCTTTCCCTATGTGGCAAATATACTGGGTAAGTAAGAGCCTCTCTGTTGCTCATGTTGTTGATCATAAGTGCCGTGAGTAATTATATTTTTAATTTTGGACATAATAATGTTGCCCTTGAAACGCCTTTGCTGTTAATCGTGGTAATGAATTCCTCTTTTATGATACAGTTGACGAATTGCAATGTTCAACGTTTGGTAAAAGGAAATATTATCCAGTTTTCAACATTTAGAATTTATATATATATATTCTAGTTATATAAGTATATGACTGTATTAATTAACAATATAAAAAAATAGTAACAATGATAAAAGACTGAAAGTTTTAAAAATATTGTATTTAAGGTTTTCTTTAGAAAATTATTTTTATTTAATATTTGCTTGTTTCACAAATACCCATTTCTTCATATATTTTTATGACTAAAACACACACATATATATTAAAGATAAAAATGGAAAAAGTATCAGTCTGTAAATCCAAATGTAATTTTTTTTTATAAGGATTGTTTTCAGAGATACTACTAGAAATTTTAAATTGGTCAGGTAATCATTTGCATAACATAAAAATAAGATTTGCTCCCTGCATTTTTAATTTTTGTTCAAATTGGTTCATGTTTAATTTTTAGTTAAATTAGTTTTTATATTTTAAAAATATTTCTAATTTAGTTAATCTTTCCAAAATTTTGTTAATAATGTTAAAGATAATGTCACGTGTTAAATTTGATGATATGTGGTACATTCTCATTCGCAATTGTGCAAATGGATATCACATGGAGTTTGCCTTGACACCAAAAAAATTAATATAGATAAATTTGAACCAGTCATCATATTAAAAAAAAAATAAGCCCTAATTTTTTTTTCTCTCTTCACTTTCACTTAACCTTTTTTATCATTCAGTTGCCTCCTTTCATCTTTATCTTCTTCATCAATTTGCCTTCTCTCACTTATCAATAGTTGTTCATATAAGTCAATTGTGTCATGTTTTTGGTTTTCCCTTTTCTTCTCCACGCTTTTGGGTCCATTTTTGGTTAACCTAGCACAAAAAGTTGGGACGTTGTCATCGTTGAGGTCTTTCCTCTCCTTACTTATTGCACTCAGCCCCATTGAGGGAATTTTTTTGTGAGAGATTTTCTTTCAGATTGAAGAGAGAATTTCTATCCAAGATAATTTCTTTCATAGAGAATTTTTCTATCAGAGATAATTTCTTTTCTTGAGAATTTTTATATCAAAGAGAAATAATTTTCGGAGAGAAATAATTTGTGAGAGAATTCCTCTAGAAGACAATTAAACCATCAAGAGGTATATATTATAATTAAAGGAGAAATAATTTAAGGAGAATAGAAATGATTTGTGAGAGAATTTCTTTACCGAAGGTCATTTTTTATGTAGCACATTTAAGGACATAAAGCTATTTTCATTATTGTTTTACTACATAGGTTAATATACTATTTAGGTAGGTTGTATTAGTGACAATTATCTGGTTTAATGTTTTGCATTAAGATATCATCCTTTCATTTTTTAAGTTTCAAAAAATGTTGGTTTTGAATTGTCATATTTTTTTCTGCATAAAAAGAAAATAGTTTTAATGGTTTATGTATATTTTCCCTTAGTATGAATTTGGTAATGTCTATTTCATCAAGCTCAATAAATGTTGTGGTACTCCAAGAGCCAAACATCAACTATAAGGTAAATATCAAGTTTAAATGTAACAGATTAATGACTTAAAAATTAACATGTCTTTGAACATCAATACTTTTATATAAACCTGTGATTGCAAATAATTTAAATGGCACATTGATAAGATCAACTTGACGTATTATAAGGATTTGTTAATGAATATGAAGAGTGATATTAGAGTACACGAGGAACTGAGTAGATGTAAGAGTTTGGTGGACATCGAAATAGTGGACTTCTATAATGATATTTAAGAGATTAGGTTGAGACAATATAAAGTGGAACACAAAGTGGAGATAATAAAAAAATTACTAGAAGACTTAGCCAATGCAAGGAAGACATGGGATTAAGACAATGGGGAATAAGTGGATTGTGTTTGTTGTATTGGTTACAGTGGTGGTAGGGTGTGTCCTCTATGTAATTATTTTAATTTAGAATAACATGTAGTTAATTATGTTGTACTCTTAAACTTGGATGTATTAATTTTTACCATAAAAATATACATAAGACTTACAATGATAAACTTTTTTTCCTACCATGACTTTTTTTCCTTACCATATCTATTTTAGAATGACATATAATGACCTTAATATGTGTTATTTATAAAATGTGACATAGGGAGAAATAATTTGTGAGAAAATTTGTTTCTTTGAGGAATTTCTTCCTTTGACATATTTTCTCTCTTTGAAAATTTCTATACTCAAAAGAAATTTATTTTTTTACTCAAGAAAAAGTCTTGTTAAGAAATTCTCTTCAAGAATTTCTCTATTTGCAAATTTCTCTCTTTAAGAATTTATTTACTCAAGGAAAAGTTTGTTTGACATTTCTCTCTTTGAGAACTCTATTCAAGAAATTCTCTTAGAGTATTTTTTCTACTCAAGCCTTAAGGAGAAGTCTCTTTGAGATTTCTCTTTTTGACAATTTTTTTATTTGAGAGATCCTCTCTTTGAGGAATTTCTCTTTTTGACATTTTTTCTTTTTTTTTTTTGAGAATTTTTATACTCAGAAAAATTTTTTCTCTCTTCAAAGATTTCTCTATTCTCTCTTTGAGAATTTCTCTACTCCATTAAGCTCCAGTGAGAATTTTTTAATTCTAATTCTAATTCCCCATCAATAGTAACTCAGGTGCAAGAAAAATATGCACAAACATTCCCACTCGCACATTAGTGATGCATAAACATCAATACGGACTTGGGAATAAAACCTCATAAATTCAAACCACTAGGTCTAGCGTAATATAATATTTATATGTCATAAGGTTAAATCATAACAAATGCAAAATATTTAACTAATTAAAAAAACACATCTTTAACTTGTAGTAACGAACAAAACAACATTCATTCTAAAAGTTTTAGAGAAAGTGATGTGAGCATGGATATGGATCAAGTTGGCAAAAAGGATATTTCAATGCCAAATGGGCCCATTACGAGGGGGAGAGCTAAAAGATTATAATAAGCCTTTCAACTTTTTATCCAAGTGTGGAAGAAGATGGGTTTAGACTCATTATAGAAACTCAAGAAAAAGAGACAACATGACCATTAACCTGAGGGTATAGTAGTATATACCATTCATAACAAGTGCAAAAGGGAAATAAATAAGAAAAAGAAAAAATTCTGTAAGACATAAAATCATAGAATTTTATTTCATAATCATATGGGAAATCTTCACAATTAAAGATCAACTAAAATAGGAAATTGCTCCTAAATTGCAAGCTATCTTGAGAAAGAGGAAAACTATTTAAATGTCAAAGCTCGCGGAAAAGAAAAATACTTGAAAAAGAGAAAAATATCTTGGCAGAATCTCTTCTCCTAAACCAGACACAATTAATTAAGATATTTCCTATTTAAAAAGTTTTCCTCATAGGAAAATCACATATATTCTATTTTAGTTATAATTTTCTTAATTTTTGCTACTTTTCCATTCTAGTATATATTTAATTTTTTATGTAATTTTTAATCATTAATTAGGAGATTAATTTTTTTTTAATTATTTGCATGACCTACACTATAAATAAGCATTTAATTTAAAATTATAATTCAATTCAAAATTTTCAACTTATTAATGAAATTCAGGTATTCTTGTTTTAAACTTTCAACCTTGTAAAAGTGAGTGAGTGAGTGAGTTTTCGACCAACTTATTGTGCTAGGAATTGAGATCATTTATCGAGGTAAGTCTCGTAGTATTTTTTCAAATCTAGTTCTTTATTTCTTTTCTAATTATTTTGGTTTTTACTCCTATGTTGAGTGGGGGTCAAGTAGGGAGGGTCTGCTCAGGGTTTTGAGTTTCTGATTGTTGATGTATATGTAGGGTTTTGGATTTTGTTGTTGATCCCGGGTTCCGCATCAGTTGGTATCAAAACTTAGGCTCCGGTAAATCTACTATCTTTATAATTTACTATTTACATTTATTTTCTTACATAAAATTAACACTCGTTAGACAAAGTACTAATTTATTTATTGTGTTTTCTAGAATTTTTTTTACGTTGTTATTATAATTAAAAAAGAGAGAGAGAGAGAGAGATTCTGAAGAAAAAAAAACAAAATCTGTGAAAAAAAAGAGCAAAAAAATAAAGAGAGAGAGGTGTGTGACTCCCTAGTTTTCTTTTTACACATTAGATTCAATATTTTGCATTAGCATATGTATCACAGAAACTTAAGTGAGTCATAGAGCGTAGCCGTAATTGGGGTAGAATAATTAGGTATAACATTCAGTTATATTCATAAGGATTAATCGGATCATTGACTTTTTAAGTTTATAATTATCTTTTTCTACTCTTAGTTTTGTTCTTCCTAAGTGCTTTAGTTCCATTATACATTTAAATAGTTAATTGCATTATAATTACTTAGCTATAAGCATAAGAGCATCATATATTCTTCTTCTATGTGCTTACTTTTGAACTTTTAAAGAACAAGATCCATTTTTAGGATTTTTTGCAGAGTCTTAAAAGATAACCTTGCTTGTCTTTATTCAAGAGATTTAATTCCAACACTCAACTTGATGGAAGAGGACTTGAGAGGTAAATACGAGTGATTGAGATGGAGTGATTTCTTTTTTTCATTAACATCTTTTTGCAGATAAGTCACAGGTTAGTGAAACTAATAGTTCTATGACCTTGGAAGAACACATGGAGGCTAGGATAGATGACATATATAACAGACTGAACTTAACCATTGACGGTATAGTAACAAGAATGGATGTGAGAGATAGAGGAAGGAACTGTAGTCATCTCAGATGCCGACACTGCTAGGATGATGATGAGTCACATGGCGACAATAGTGAAGTCAGTAAAAGAGAAATCCAGAGGGAAAACGATGACATCAGATCCATCAAGATACAGATACCCACGTTTAGAGGAAGGAATGATGCAGAGACCCCTTGAGTGGGAACAAAAGATAAAGTTGATTTTTGACTACCACAACTATAGTGAAGGCAAGAAAATAAAGCTAGTAGTAGTTGAGCTTACAAATTATGCACTTGCTTGGTGGGATCATGTGACTGCTTTTGG